ACTATCACATTCTTGTTCGAGCCAACGCTCCAAAATATACCAATCACAATTCTTCCTCAACCGTTCACATTATATGAAATTTATCAATTTAACCACGGAAATTGTGTCACGTCATTCGAATTAAAGCAGTTAAGACTCACGGTCATGCTACACTCCGGTGCATAGATAACCGTCACCATGCCTATACACCGTACTCCACATTCAGCAAGTAGCAAATAACATCCTAATCCTATTCCCTCAAGCCAAAATTAGAACAAACACTTACCTCAAATGCTCCAAACTCAACTCAATCCTCTAGTATAGCTTTACCCTTCGAATTCACCACCAAACCGCTCAAATCTTGTCACAAATTACTTGAGTGTATCAACAAAGGCTAATCTAATAAATCTGAATGCATGAAAAGTAAATTTCCCAAAGTTTGTTCAAAAATCCCCAAAATGCCCCCGGGCCCACGTGGTCAAAACCCAAGGTTCGAACCAAAACCCGACTACCCATTCCCCCATGAACTCAGATATATAAGTTATTTTGGAATCGGACCTCAAATTGAGGTCCAAAACCCCCAAATTTTGAAACCCTAGTTCTACCCTAAATTCCCAAATTCCCCCATTAAAATCTTTGTTTTGAAGTTAAAATTATGTTTAAAGATGTTAAGAAGCAAGGAAAATAAGTTAGAAATCACTTACCAATCGTTTTGAAGGAGAAGAATCGTTTGGAAAATCGCCTCTTATGTTTTGGGTTTTGAAAAAGTGCAAAATGACTGAAAATATCAGATTTATATACGTTGCTGAAGGACTGGCGTGGACCGCGCAAAAATGTCCCGCGGCCACACCGAGGAAGGGAGGGAAAACAACTCTCTGAACCTACCCAGCGCGGACCGCACGATTTTGGTGTGCGGCCACGCTGGTGTCTTGCACCTGGGGCTTTCTCTGAATCTCCCAGCGCGGACCGCACGAACTTGGTGCGCGGCCGCGCTGGTCAAACCAAGGCTGAGGACCCCTCTGAATCTAGCCACGTGGGCCGCGCGAACTGCACCGCGGCCACGTGGCTTCCAGCGCGGACCGCGCGGGAATGACCGCGGCCGCGCTGGGGCCTGCAACACTGCAACATCTGCTACTTTAAGCCTAAGGCCTCCCGGGACCTACTCAAAACTCACCCGAGCCCTCGGGGCTCCAAACCAAGCATACACACTAACTCAATAACATCCTACGAACTCATCCGTGCGATCCATTCGCCAAAACAACATCGAAATCATCAAATTAGGCCTCAAGACCCATGATTTCCTCCCAATTTTCATAAGACATCAAGTTTAGAGTTTTTGTCCAAAACAGGTCAAACGACGTCCAAATCTAACCAAACTTTACAGCAATTGCTTAAATCACATTTAAGACTTGTGCCGGGCGTCAGAACCAAAATACGAGCCCAACAGCACAGTCTTCTAAACAAATAACACTTTCAAATTCTTTAATTATTTTCAGAAAGCAATTTCACACAATAATTCATTTCTCGGACTTGGAACCTCGGAATTTGATTCCGGGCACACACCCAAGTCCCAAAGTTTCCTACGGACCCTCCGGGACTGTCGAAAGACGAGTCCGGGTCCGTTTGTCCAAAACGTTGACCAAAGTCAAACTCGATCAATTTAAAACATCAAATTTTATTATTTTTCTCACAAATTCACATGTAAACTTTCCGGTTACGCGCCCGGACTGCGCACACAAGTCGAGGCAACCCTCAAGTGAGGTTTCCAGGGCCTCAGAAGTGCATAGGGAGTAGGAATACAGTTGATGACCCCTTTGGGTCGTCACAGAGCCATGCCAAGTTGAGCGAGATATACTTTTCGATGGCAAAAGCATACACAAAAGCTGAATTTGACAGTCTAATGGAGAAGGTGGAGAAGGTACATATTAGGGTGAAAGAATACTTAGAGTTAGCTGGTTACGAAAAGTGGGCTAGGTTTTATGCACCTGTTAACAGGGGATGGACAATGACGTCAAATATTGCTGAGTCAATTAATGCCGCACTAGTTTCAGCAAGGGAATTGCCAATATACGACTTCCTCGTAGAAGTTAGGAAGATGTTTGGACGTTGGATGGTGCAGGTGAGTATCTGAATAATAATACAATATGTTAATATTTAAATATTGAAATACATGTATTAAGAAATAATTATATTCAATTGTATGTACAGGTCATATATTACCACTAGCATATGGTGTTATTGATTCAGAGAACGATGCTGCTTGGACGTGGTTCTTTGAGCAATTCAAGATAGCATACGGTGTAAGGGAAAACATGTGCATCGTTTCAGATAGAAATGAGAGTATCATTAAATCTGTATCGAGAGTGTATCCGGATGTACTGCATTTTGCTTGTATATGGCATCTACGGAACAACGTATATAAGAAATTCAAAAAGAGCCATGCCAAGTTGAGCGAGATATACTTTTCGATGGCAAAAGCATACACAGAAGCTGAATTTGACAGTCTAATGGAGAAGGTGGAGAAGGTAGATATTAGGGTGAAAGAATACTTAGAGTTTGCTGGTTACGAAAAGTGGGCTAGGTTGTATGCACCTGTTAACAGGGGATGGACAATGACGTCAAATATTGCTGAGTCAATCAATGCCGCACTAGTTTCAAAAAGGGAATTGCCAATATACGACTTCCTCGAAGAAGTTAGGAAGATGTTTGGACGTTGGAATTGTAGTAACTACAAAGAAGCTACACAGACATACAAGACGCTTGGGAAAAAATACCAGGAGATGCTGGAGTTGAATGAGAGAATGTGTACACGTATGACTGTAATTTAAATTTTACTGTCATTGCTGTATATATTTTTAGTTAATTTCTGTATTACTAGCATGAATACAACTGAATACAATCATTTTTAAGTAGAACTACCATTAATATATATGAATGCAACTACATTCAAGCACATAACATGCATATTATTCCATAGATCTGATATGAATATAACTAATTTACATGCTGAAAAAACTATTGGAATACATCAGAATGCAACTAGCTATATGATATGTAATTTTTATATGTATTGTCAATACGAATGATTATAATGCTTTTGTTAGCATACTGTTGCCTAAACTACAGCAGACTTTTGATAAGTTCTGCACTTCTCGCACATGACATTTTGCTGGTCCATATATATGATGTATTCATATATATATGCAAATGTTTCTGTTATATGTAACTTATTAATTCAACATTATACATTTGGTAATTCAGGTAAATGTGTTCAAAGCTTATATTTCTATTTTTAAATGTAGGTGGTACCGTCAAATGAATACTTACATACGGTTAACGATGGTGGGAGGAATTGCACAGTCTGCCTGTTAGAGAGAAAATGTGTTTGTGGGAGGTTCCAAATTGATGAATTGCCATGCCCACATGCTTGGGCTGTATTGAAGAGCAAGTTTCTAATGCCAGAAGAATATTGCTCTAACTACTACAAACCAAGTACAATTGTAATGACATACGATGTGCCAGTATACACGCTACCGGACAAAAATGACCGGAATATACCAGAACATGTAGCAGAGGAGGTTGTACTACCACCCAAATGGAAAAGACCTCCTGGAAGGCCAAAGAAGAAGCGCGATAAAACTTTAAGTAGAACTGCTGCAGACCCGAAAAAACCAACATTCATGTAGCATATGTAGGCGAGGGAGGACATAACAAGCGAA